TATACCTCAATAATTCTGACTTTAAAAAGTGTTTCAGGCTGGGCATGGTGGGTCACGCCTGTAATGCCAGCACTTTGGGAGGCTGCGGCGGGTGGATCATGAGGTCAGGAGTTCAAGACCAGCCTGGCCAAGACAGTGAAAGCCCATCTGTACTAAAAATACAAAAATTAGCTGGGTACGGCGGCAGGTCCCTGTAATCCCAGCTACTCGGGAGGCTGAGGCAGGAGAATAATTTGAACCCAGGTGGCAGAGGTTGCAGTGAGCCAAGATCATGCCACTGAATTCCAGCCTGGGTGACAAAGACTCCGTCTCAAAAAAAAAAAAAATGCATTAGCTAGGCATAGTGGCACATGCCTGTAATCCCAACACTTTGGGAAACCAAGGTAGGAGATTGCTTGCGGCTAGAAGTCCAAGACTACCAGCTTGGACAATGTAGTGAGACTCTGTCTCCACAAAACAAAAAATTATTTATTTATTTATTTTGAGACAGAGTCTCGCTCTTGTTGCCCAGGCAACAATTGTGCAATGGTGTAATCTCGGCTCACTGCAACCTCTGCCTCCTGGGTTCAATCGATTTTTCTGCCTCAGCCTCCCAAGTAGCTGGGATTACAGGCACGTGCCACCACACCTGGCTAATTTTGTATTTTTAGTGGAGACGGGGTTTCTCCATGTTGGTCAGGCTGGTCTTGAACTCCCAACCTCAGGTGATCCTCCTGCCTCGGCCTCCCAAAGTACTGGGATTACAGGCGTGAGCCACCACGCCCAGCCAAAAAAATTTTTTTATAAACTAGCTGAGTGCGGTGGCACACACCTGTGGTTCCAGCTACTCAGGAGGCCGAGGTCGGAAGATTGCTTGAGCCTGGGAGGTCGAGGCTGCAGTGGGCCATGATCCACTGCACTCCAGCCTGGGCAACAGAGTGGGACCCCGTCTCAAACAAACAAAACAAAATTAGGCTGGGCACAGTGGCTCACGCCTGTAATCCCAGCACTTTGGGAGGCCGAGGTGGGTAGATCACCTCAGGTCAGGAGTTCAAAATCAACCTGGCCAACATGGTGAAACCCCGTCTCTACCAATAATACAAAAAAATTAGCCTGGCATAGTGGCACATGCCTGTCATCCCAGCTACTAGGGAGGCTGAGGCAGGAGAATCGCTTGAACCCAGGAGGTGGAGGTTGTAGTGAGCCAAGGTCATGCTACTGCACTCCAGCCTAGGCAACACAGCAAGACTTGAGAAAGAAAGAAGGAAAGAGAGAGAGAGAGAAAGAAAGAGAGAGGGAGAGAGGGAGAGAGGGAGGGAAGGAGGGAGGGAGAAAGAGAGAGAAAGAGAGAAGGGAGGGAGGAAGGAAGGAGGGAAGGAAGGTGAGACTGGGAAGGAAGGAGAGGAAGGAGGGAAGGAGAGGGAGGAAGGAAGGAGGGAAGGAAGAGAGGAGGAAGGAGAGGGAAGAGGAGCGGAAGGAAGAGGGAGGGAAGGAGGAAGGAAGGAGGGAGGGAAGGGAAGGATGGAGGGAGGAAGGGAGAGGAGGGAAGAGGAGGGAAGGAAGGAGGAAGGAAGGAGGAGGGAGGAAGGAGGAGGAAGAGAAGGAAGGAGGAAGGAAGGAGAGAAGGAGGGAGGAAGATGGGGGAAGGAAGGAGGGAGGGAAGAGGGACGCTGAGGGAAGGAAGGAAGGAGAGAAGGAAGGAGGGAAGGAAGGAGGAAGGAGGGAATGAAGGGAGGAAGAAGGAGGGGAGAGGAAAGGAAGGAAGGGAAGGAGGGATGGGAGAAGGGGAAGGAGGCAAGAGGAGAGGGAGGAAGGAGAGGGAAGGAAGGAGAGGAAGGAGGGGAAGGAAGGAGGGAGGGAAGAAGTTAGGGAGGGAAGGAGAAAAGAAGGAAGGAGTGAGGGATGGAAGGAGGAGGAAGGAGGGAGGAGAAGGAAGGAGGGAAGGAAGGGAAGGGAGGGAGTTTGAGGAAGTGAGGAGGGAGTTGAGGGAAGGAGGGAAGGAAGGAGGGAGGGAAGGAGGGAAGGAAGGAGGGAAGGAAGGAAGGAGGAAGGGAGGAAGGGAGGAAACCCAACAACAACCAAACCGAATTAAAGAGTGTATCGTACCCACCTCACTGGGTTACTATGAGGATTAAATGACAATATGCACCGTGTCCTTATCCTCATGCCTGGCACATTATAAGGGCTCAAAAAATGATGGTGATTAGATCATAATTATCTTCATCATCACCATCAGTATTTTTATCATTCCTATTTCATTTATATCGGTAAATTAGACATAAGCAAGACACATTTTTGCCATTAAAAAAATTGTGGCAGATATTCCAGTCCTGGACTCATCTTAGAACCAACATAGCAATAATCCCCTTTTATTACCTATTTTCCACACTGAGAACTGGACATGGCTGATGGCTGGAGCCCTGCCCATGTCGATTAGAATCATCCCATTTCACAGACCAGGAAGTGAAGGGCCAGAGAGCTTGGGTGACTTGCCAGTAACCACACAGCTAGTGAGAGGCATCACCTGGGTACAGCCTCAGTCTGTGTGGTCCTGAAGCCCATGCAGGCTCTGATCCTGGCCCCTGGCTGGAGACACAGAGGTTCAGGATGAGGCCACAGGGACAGGGGGCAGGCAGCTTACAATCTCCAGAGAGAAGGGTCCCTGGTCCAGGAGCCCTGGTCTGGGACCTGGCTTCCCAGAGCAGGGCAGTTGGTGCTTGCATTCCTGGCTGGCATGTCTATTATACCACTCCTGAGGGCCTGGCTGGGAGAGCTGAGCCTTGTGGATTCCTGGCCAGGCACCACTGGGCAAGCCGGACACAGCAGTGCTATTGTATGCAGAGGGAGGACTCAGAGCAGTGCCCTTGGGTGACCAGGCTTAGAAGCCGACCGCCTGGGAACCTGGCAGGCCAAGGGAGGTGGCTCCCCTGCTCACAGCGGTCTTGGGTAGTAACAGTGACTCAATCAGGACAGTCCCGTGGGATTCGGAGCACAAGGCTGTCACCCTGGAATCTTCTCACTCCACCTCCGCAATCATCCATTGAGCAACTGTCTTTCTCTGTGCCTTGGCTGCTATCTGGACCACTGTGATGACCTCCAGCTGAGCCCCTGCCCCTGCTGCCCAGCAAGCTCTTTGCTGTGCTAGAGGGAATTAGTCGTTTATTTATTTTATTTTATTTATAACATAATAAATGTTACAAGCATAGCTGGATCTCGCTATGTTGCCCAGGCTGGCCTTGAACTCCTGGCCTCAAGTGATTCTCCCACCTTTGCCTCCTAAGTAGCTGGCCCTACGGCATTGAGTCCCTGCTTTCAGCCATGGGAATTTTTTAAAATGCAAAGACCAGACTGTGTCTGCCCCATTCAGAACCTCTCATGAACTGCCCACTGCATTTCAAATAAAATGCACCCTCCACAACGTGGCCCAGAGGTCCTGCAGAGTCAAGGTCTGCTGACCTCTGACCTCGAGTCACTTTCCCTTCATCTGCCCCCTCCCACCACACAAGTCTGTTCCCCTTTCCAGGAATATTCTTCCTGCTTCCCACCTGCCTGCTCCCTGCCTGCTCAGACCTACTCAACCTACGAACCTCAGGGAAGAAGGACCGTGGCATTGAGCTGTCTGCCGCGTGTGCACGTGGACACTCGTGTCTCCCTGCTGATTAGCACATAAGAGACTCTTGGCTACCAGCCCTCTGGCCTCTCTGGCCCTTCCCTTTCCGCATCCCCTGGTGCCACCACCAACAGCCAGTGGAAAGTTTAATAGGCAAAAAAGAGACCGAGTCTCGCTCTGTCACCCAGGCTGGAGTGCAGTGGTGTGATTGTGGCTCGCTGCAACCTCCGCCTCCTGGGTTCAAGCAGTTCTCCTGCCTCAAGCTCCTGAGTAGCTGGGATTACAGGCGCCCACCACCACGCCCAGCTAATTTTTGTATTTTTAGTAGAGACAGGGTTTCATCATGTTGGCCAGAATGGTCTTGAACTCCTGACCTCATGATCTACCCGCCTCTGCCTCCCAAAGTGCTGGGATTACAGGCATGAGCCACTGTGCCCGGCCCCAGTGGACATTTTGTAAACACCAGCTCATGTCAGCCGTTGCCTCTGCTGGCTCCTTGACCTAGAGTGCCCTCGCCCCACCTATTCTGTTCCTTTAAGACACAACCCAAATGTCATTTCTCCTGGGCAGCCTCCCAGTTCCCTCAGCTCTAAGGGGTTCCTGCGCATTCTGACCTCCCACATGCCTGCACCTCACTCTGTTCCAAGTGTCGCTCACCATTTCCATGTCCCCTCTGCCTTCCTGCTCCAAGCACAGAGCCAGACACATAGTAAGTGCCCTCCCAGTGTCTGCAGACACAACAGATCTCTGTGTCTCAGTTGGACTTATGTTTACAAATCTGAACTCTAAAGCCAGACCCTGGTTTGAATCTCAGATCTGTGACTTCCCACCTGCATGACCTTGAGCAAGGGGCTTAACCTTTCCAAGCCTCAATTTCTTCTTCTGTAAAATGGGGACAATAATTGTGCCTGCTTCATAGGACTGTTATGAAGACAAAATGGGTCAGTGCACATGACCTGCTTAGAAATGAATCCAGTACACGGTGAGCACTCCTTAATATTGGTGGCTTTTTTTTTTTTTTTTTTTTTGAGATGGAGTCTCACTGTGTCACACAGGCTGGAGTGCAGTGGTGTGATCTCAGCTCACTGCAACCTCTGCTGCCCAGGTTCAAGCAATTTTCCTGCCTCAGCCTCATGAGTAGCTGGGATTACAGGCGCCTGCCACCACACCTGGCTAATTTGTATTTTTAGTAGAGACGGCATTTCAACATCTTGGCCAGGCTGGCCTTGAACTCCTGACCTCGTAATCCACCTGCCTCGGCCTCCCAAAGTGCTGGGATTACAGGCGGCAGGAGCCACCACGCCTGGCCTAATATTGGTGGCTTTTATATTTCTCCCTGGCGTGGGCCTGACATTTCAGCTGCCTGTGGCAAGTGCTTCCTGAATTGACAGCCGTTCTCCTCCATTTCCAGAGCTGGACAGAGGCCTCACAGAGCCCCAGATACAGGTGGTTTGCCGCCAGATGCTAGAAGCCCTCAACTTCCTGCACAGCAAGAGGATCATCCACCGAGATCTGAAAGCTGGCAACGTGCTGATGACCCTTGAGGGAGACATCAGGCTGGGTAAGGGACTCAGGGTGGGAAAGGTGGGGTGTCGGCCTGGCCTCTGCAGGCCAGTGGGAGTGTGGACGTCGTGGGGGTGTGAGGTCCTCACACCTATGCCCTCTTGGCATGTCAGCAGTTCTCCCCTTCCTACTCTTCATTCTTTTTTAAACATTATTTTATTTTATTTTATTTTTTTGAGACAGTCTTGCTCTGTCACCCAGGCTGGTGTGCAGTGGTGCATTCTTGGCTCACTGCAACCTCCACCTCCCAGGTTCAAGTGATTCTTGTGTTTCAGCTTCCCAAGTAGCTGGGGTCACAGGCGCCTGCCGCCATGCCTGGCTACTTTTTATACTTTTAGTAGAGATGAGGTTTCACCTTGTTGGCCAAGCTGGTCTCGAACTCCTGATCTCAAGTGGTCTGCCCGCCTTGGCCTTCCAAAATGCTGAGATTACAGGTGTGCACCACTGTGCCTGGCCAGCTTCTTTCTAATCAAGAGAATTCGAGTGAGAGTGATGGATGGAGGGATGACCCAGCTCCATCCCCAGATGGAAAACAGTAGGACATTAAGCACATATATCAAAACCTTCTTTTTCTTCTTTTGGACAGAGTCTCACTCTGTTGCCCAGGCTGTAGTGCAGTGGCGAAATCTCGGCTCACTGCAGCCTCCACCTCCTGGGTTCAAGTGATTCTCCTGCCTCAGCCTCCTGAGTAGCTGAGACTACAGGCGCCCGCCACCATGCCTGGCTAATTTTTGTATTTTTAGTAGAGACCGGGTTTCACCATGTTGGCCAGGCTGGTCTCGAGCTCCTGACCACAAGTGAACCACCCACCTCAGCCTCCCAAGGTGCTGGGATTACAGGTGTGAACCACCACTCCCGGCTCAAAACCTTCTTCTTTAAATGTCTCTTTGTATTTTTAATGTTTTTATTTTTTTAACCAAAGTGACACATACGTGTGTCATCTCCTCATGTGTCTCCTTTTGCCATGCACCTGCAGAGACAAGCGCTTTGAGCTCTTCTCCTGTGTACTTCTGCATCACCAAGTTATATGGCGGCAATGCATTTTTGAAAGTAATGATTTTTGGCTGGGCGCAATCACTCACACCTGTAATCCCAGCACTTTGGGAGGCCAAGGTGGGTGGATCACCTGAGGTCAGGAGTTTGAGACCAGCCTAGCCAACATCTCGAAACCCCAATCTCTACTAAAAATACAAAAATTAGCCGGGCGTGGTGGCACATGCCTGTAGTCCCAGCTACTCGGGAGGCTGAGGCAGGAGAATCGCTTGAACCCAGGAGGTGGAAGTTGCCGTGAGCTGAGATTGCGCCGCTGCACTCCAGTCTGGGCAACAGAGTAAGACCATTTCACGAGAAAACAAAAAACAAAAAAACACCCAGTTGGTACTCAATAAACACTCACTTCCAGCATTACCATCACTTTAGCCTATGGTTAGTTACTTCAGCATCCCCAACTCCCAACGCCCCCCCGCCCTGCCCAATGTGCCGAAGACCCTGGCAGGTGGACCAGTCAGGAAGCCAAATGCCCATCTGTTACTCCTGCCTTCACCCAGCCTAGCATTGCTCTTTCCTGCTACCATCGGGCTGGGGGCCTGGTTCTTTCACTAGAGCTACCATGCACTGAGCCAGCATCTGGTATATGTTAACTCATTCCATTCTCAAAGGACACTGATAACATCTTGCAGGACGGATTTGGGACCTAGCAAGACTGACTTATCCAGGGTCACTCTGCTGATAAGAGGAACAGCTGGGGTTCAAACCAAGGCAGCTGGCTCCAGAGCCTACGTGCTTAACCACTACCCTCTTGTCGCCTCTCTTAGTGGCAAATGATAAAAAGCCACTTCCTAAGAGTTAAGGCAGACAGGAAAATGTGTACATCATGGAGCCAAATTGGAGAAGAAATACAGCTGGGTGGGCTTTAAAGTTAGTTGGAACCTGGAACATAAACGCTGCCAGGACTGTCTCCCTGGCCCTTGGCTTTCTGTGCATGTAGGTTAGGCTCCCAGACCAACCCTCTCCACCAAGCTCAGGATACCATCTAGTTTCACCTTTCCCAGCATCACCACCTGCTGCATGAGCCTGAACCCACCATTGGAGGCTTTGGCATCAATAATCCCAGGGGAGGGCTCTGATTGGCCCCACCTTGGCCCAGATAGTAATCCTTGGACCAAGCAGTGAGGCCCAGGAAGGAGGGTGTCTCCCATAAGCCCGGCTTGTCTTCAGTCTCTGGCATGGAGGGTGGGGTCACGTGACAACACGGAAGTAGCCCTTGCCCCCACAGTGAGGCGGTGTGTTGGGTGGGGAGATGGTTTTTCAGAGGAAGAGGGGTTCGGACTGGCCAGAAAAACAAATTGCTGTCCACCTACTCTGCCCAGCCTATGACAATCACACAGGCCCAGCAGAGGGAAAGTAAGTGAGGCAGAAGCTGGAGGGATGGGAAGCAAGAACAAAGGGCTGTGTTGGTGATGAGTGTGGGGAGAGTGTCAGGAAGACAGTGCAGTGTGATGCGGGGAGGAGAGTCAGTGGAGGCCGAAGGTGGGGGGTCAGACTGGAAGACGAAGCCCTCATCAAATGGGCATGTGTCTCTAGGTTCCTAAAAAAACAAAAGAAAATAAAAATAACCTTACTGTAACCACGCCATGGGTTCACCTTGCTCACTGCCTTAACAGAGCTGATTTATCAAGACAGGGGAATTGCAATGGAGAAAGAAGAATGTATGCAGAGCCGCTGTGCAGGAGACTGGAGTTTTTTTATTACTCAAATCAGCCTCCCCAAGCATTCTGGGATCAGAGTTTTTAAAGATAATCTGGTGGGTAGGGGCTCGGGAAGTGGGGGGTGCTGATTGGTCAGGTTGGAGATGGAATTGTAGGGGGACAATGTGAGTTTTTCTGGCTGTTTTCTATTCCTGGGTGTGACGGAAGAACTGGTGGAGCTGGGTTACCGCCTGGGTGGTGTCAACTGATCCATCGAATGTAGGGTCTACAAAATAACTCAAGGCTGATCTGAGGTTTGACAATAGTGATGTTATCCCCAGGAGCAATTTGGGGAGTTCAGACTCTTGAAGCCAGAGGCTGCGTGACCCCTGCACTGTAATTTCTAATCTTGTAGCTAATTTGCTAGTCCTGCAAAGGCAGACTGGTCCTCTTCTTCAAGAAGAGGGTCTTTTCGGGAAAGGGCTATTATCAACTTTTGTTTTAGAGTCAAACCGTGAACTGATTTTTTTCCCACAGTTAGTTTGGCCCACGCCCAGGAATGAACACGGACAACTTCAAGGTTAGAAGCAAGATGGAGTCGGTTAGGTCTGATTTCTTTCACTGGCATCATTTCCTCAGTTATAATTTTGCAAAGACGGTTTCATTACCATGGTAGAGCAGTTCTTCCCGTCTCACATTTGGCTAAATAATATGATCCCTATTTAATAGGTGAAGAAACTGATGCTCAGAGGCATTTAGCAATTTATCTACAATCAAGCTAGAATCTTCTCACTTCCCTGTCCGCACTGTTTCCCTGACACTTCTGGGAGGGCAGGTCATCCCTCTCATTAGAAGAAGCCACTTTCTTAATGAGCTCAGGTGTGCACTGGCTGCTGCGAGCTGGAGATCCCAGGGCTGAGGGTAGAAGCAGTTGCTCTCTTCTGTCCTCATCTCAGTTTCAGCAGGGGTCCCAGCACCTCTCTGCCCTTTGCTTTCCTGCTTGTACCATGGGGGAACCTGGCTAGTGTTTGTCCACAGGAGCACTTTTGGGATTTTGGACTGGATGGTTTTCACTGTTTTCTGAATGACAAGGTTCCTCCTACCTTGGATTCTTTTGGTCACCTACGATCAAGGGGACAGACAGATGAGAGACTCCCTTGTAAGTGTGCATACATGCTAAGTTCACTGTTTTTGTGCATGTTATAATGTATTTTACACTGTTTATATAATTTTTTTCATTATAAAGGTAATTGTGGTATTGATACCTATATAGAAAGATATATACAAAGATAGACATTGCAACAGTATTTGTGTTTTTTTTTTGAGACAGAGTCTCCCTCTGTCGCCCAGGCTGGAGTGCAGTGGCCGGATCTCGGCTCACTGCAAGCTCCACCTCCCGGGTTCATGCCATTCTCCTGCCTCAGCCTCCCAAGTAGCAGGGACTACAGGTGCCCGCCACCACGCCCGGCTAGTTTTTTGTATTTTTTAGTAGAGACGGGGTTTCACCATGTTAGCCGGGATGGTCTCGATCTCCTGACCTCGGGATCCGCCCGTCTTGGCCTCCCAAAGTGCTGGGATTACAGGCTTGAGCCACCGCGCCCGGCCTGCAACAGTATTTGTAAGAGCAAGAAATCAGAAGTGATCCAAGTGTATGTACTTCAGTAGAGGATTAAATTGGTTATGGTACTATCAAACGGTGGAATCTTTTTCACCTATTGAAATTAAGTTGCAGAAAATGTGTAATCTCTTACAAAGATGTATAATACATACTTTGAAGGGGAAAAGTGACTGCAAAATAGCATGTTTAATCTGATTACATATTTTAAAGTAGCAAATACATAAAAATTAAGTATATGTAATTTTTGTCTGTTTCTACTTATACATAATTTTTAGGTAGGGCATGTTGGCTCACACCTGTAACCCCAGCACTTTGGGAGGCGAAGGTGATGGGATTGCTTGACCAGGCATTCGAGACCAGCCTGGGCAACATCGTGAGACCCTGTTACTATAAAAAAAATTGTTTTAATTAAAAATATATATATATAATTGTAATATAAATAAATCTGGAGCTATACACAGCAAACCCCTAAATGTTTAGCTGTCAGTATTATAGTTTTGTTTTTTTTTTTTGAGACGGAGTCTCGCTTTGTCGCCCAGGCTGGAGTGCAGTGGCACGATCTCAGCTCACTGCAACCTCCGCCTCCCGAGTTCACGCCATTCTCCTGCCTCAGCCCCTGAGTAGCTGGGACTACAGGCGCCCGCCAGCACGCCCGGCTAATGTTTTGTATTTTTAGTAGAGACGGGGTTTCAC